GCGAAGCCCAAATTCACTATCTAAGATGGCAACTGATCGCGGGATTTGCCTTTAATTAGAAGGTCCCAACCACTGATTGGAGCGGTCCAGCTATTAGAGACCGGGCACGGTCGTTTGCATGCTCGTGACAGCGGCGACCGAAAAGTTCCCATAGTGTAGTATGAACCCTGCCCAAACTTACTACTACTTACTTACTTACGTACTATAGTGCAGAGCCGGCGCAATGTTGAAAACACTTGATAGCTTTCCAATAAAAGAAAGCACAATTCATTTCTTGTAAAGAAAGGTGGTGTTTCAGGACGAGGTTTCTTCCGAGCACCACACGCCGCCACTCATAGGAAAGGTATGCTTACTTCGAATCAAATCTCATTGTATCATTTATGTACGATCACTTTTCAGGTTATTGAAATCACAAAGCCACTATATGAAACGGTTCTACCGGCAGAGCCTACACAGGTAAAACTAAATATTCAGCGACATACGAGATATACGAACGATTCCTGTGAGTGTTTCAGGACGATGTCTCTTTCTCGTCGCCAAGACGGATGGCTTCTTCAGAAGAGGTGATATTCGCGACATTCGTTCTCTTTCCTTTGAACTGTTCCGTGCGTTTCTGAGCCTACCGGGCTTGATGTGGTAGGTACACCAAGGGGAAACCATGCACTTATTTCTGAGGGTGCTGCTGCTATTTGGATTCCGTCACCAAACTCCGCCCACGCTATCCTCACACAAGTACTACTGCACTTTCGTCGATACCAAGATCCCGCAAGCGAAACAGCGCATGCGCATCGATCATCGATCGCGCTCCCAGCTGTAGAGTACGGCCGGACATGAGGCACCGTTCAGACTTCGCAACGGCATCGCTTCGTTGCGCGTTACGCGATCGATGCAGTTAAAAGCATGCGCATCGATCATCGAATCGCGCGACCGAAGCGCTGCCGTCGCGAAGTCTGAACGCTGCCTGACGCAGGCACGCAGCGAGTTTAGCTTCGGTGAAGCGTGTGACCGGCGTCAGCGCGGGTGTAATCAGGAGACGGGATCCTGGCACTACTATTTACCATTTTAGCGCATTCACCGGCTCGTTCCCGGGCAACATTGAGAGGGGAGAGGTTGGCACGCCTAGCTGCAGCTGGGCATTTTGCATGGCATTCAATTATTGTCTTTGCAAGTCTGCCCTCTCATGGGAGGAAGGTAAGTACAAGAAAGTTGGCAGGGGCCGTGGCGTGACCGCTAGGGGCGAAATGGGAAAGCAACAATAGGCGGGGATTCGTGTTCAAAGTTTAGTGAAGATGTAACGGTTATGAGCTCCTACTTCCATGCTAGACCCCCCTATTGTGTGAGGGGGCATCAGGTGGAATGATAGAAATTAGAAGGGAACACTCGCGAAAGCCAGGTAGCGCACGATGAAACAGGAAATCATGTGTACTGCTGGGTGGGAAAACTTGGCAGTTCACGAATCTTACGACAGCCTTTGTTCGTTCTCAAAGGTGTTCCTTTTCCAGGATCACCGACTGCGGAGGGAACCGCCATCACAACATTCTCCACGACCTCCGCCTCAGGAAATTGCTTTGTTGCCCAGACGTTCCATAGCTGTCCCAGCTCAAGGGGTCACTCTGTCTCCGCAGGTGTCTCCACCTCCTCCACCTCAAAGAACGCATGTATCAGCGCGGATTTCTCCGACAGCTCCTCATCAATCATCCTTAAAGAAGCGATCACCTTCACCTCTTCTCAGAAAGGTTATGCCAACGTCATCAGTGAAGGTTTGTACATCTCAGTTTGAAATGAAACTAAGAGCCTTTACACTGTGAAGTTGCGCTTGCGTTAGCCTCCACTTATCCCTAGTTGTTTCTCTCCTTCTGTAGTCAGTAGTTTCTTTGACTGGCGAATGCTTACCTACTGTTCCGTCTCTTTGCACGTTTCTAAAAGGCAAGGTCATGGTGCAGATGGGGAGGACAACGCATGAATGCCCTACTCAAAAAATACAAATGTGAGCGCTAGCAGCTCCTTTTATCGCAGTGGTGAGAATCCTCACACAGCAGGCAATACAGGGTCACCTTCAGTACCTGTTGTCCCGTTGATGATCGAACTGCGTGAGCGGCAACGCCTGCAGTCGTCCCTATAACGAGCGAAAGTATATCAAATAGATTTGGATATACTTTCGTTCGCGGATTTTTCTCGCGCTGTCTTTAACTCTATCGCAGCACCTTTCCCTTGCTGCGAGTTGAAGGGGGTTGAAGACAGCGCGAGAACAGGCCTTCATAACGTAGTATGTCGCTTGACATCTTTTAGTGCAGTTTTGAGACTGGCTGTTTATTACAGCAGACGGGAAACTCTATTGTGAGCTGCTTAGGTCATGCCGCCTACATCGCGTGCGATGAGCTCCGCTCCGTTCCGACGTTAGGTGCATGGGTATAGCTGCGCGGAAAGGCGGTGCAGAAGCGCGATTCACACGAACTCCCAAATCTCCTCGACGTAGTGAATGAAGTAGGTGGAAACGTGTTCTTGCACCAGTAAGCTGTGCTCAGAACTACTGTGACTCTGTGTTACTCGTTTCTACCTCTTGTCATTGCTTGCCACAAGCATGTCAACACAAAATAAAAAAAATTGCCT